TTTAAACATGAACCTTCGACAAGAAAACTAGTACATTCTAGGCACTTACAGCTTGTTTCCAAACAAAAACCTTAAAAGATTAAAAGAAAATATAGATACTTAAGAACATTTATACCAGAAACTTGATGTTTTAATGACAGACAAATTTACTTTCAGCAAACTGATCATTTCTCTTTCTAAACGAAGAGATGTGTGACATTCTATTCTCAATACTTGAATGCTATTCATCTAGAACTTAAAGAAGCTAATTACAGATAAGCAGCAATAAAAGAAGACTACAATACTAAAAGATAGCAGTGACTTTTTCCCGTGAGATTGAATATAATGTAAGGATGGCTTGCAAAATAATTTCCAATAGTATTAGTGATCTGAAAATAAAACTGAGTTTATGTCACTAAGACTGTATTAGCGTAGCTTGGAGAGTCACACTCTCTCCTAACCCTGTGTTTGCACTGATGCTCCGTCCTCCCTTGTTACATGGGTCTTTGTTCTCTTCTCATGTAGCTGGATAGGTGTCTAGGCCTAGATAGTGAACATGGCAGTCTAGGGCAAAGCAAGGTCTAATTGAGCTTATCATCCCTAACAAGCAGTAGCTTCAAAAGAACTACAGTTCTACCTTAGTGTCTGTGCAGACAGAATAAACACCATCTTCCATTTGACCTTGGGAGTTAAATAGATGTGATAGACGCCTTACACTCTAAGACCAGTTTTCTTCCATCTGAGAAGCATTCTAAAGTCAACAAAGCTTGGACTGCATGTCTCTGAATATTCTAATTTAGTATTTTGTACACATCTATCTTTTTTGTTTAGATGCTAGAAATTAACCTATTTATTATCATATATTAACCTGTTCGATACAAATCAAATTTCTGACCTCAAAGATATAATTTCTATGAGATAGAATTAAGAAACAATGTCCATTGACATATATAAAGTGTGTGTGTGTGTGTGTGTGTGTGTGTGTATGTATGTATGTATGTATGTATATGTGTGCACATGTGTGTGCTATTACCATAATAATGCTGCATGTTAAATTACCTTTAGCAATAGCTTAGAGTAAAACTCATCAATATCTTGATTTGCAAATACCAGAATCAACTACAGTTTCTTTGATCCAGAAAGCATGCCAGGCTCTGAGTAGAGTCTCATTCTTATTGGACCAGCTGTTCCACAAAGCATGCTCATGTTAGGGTAGAAGACAGAAGAATCAGCAAAGACTCAACTGTACAAATGCACTGTCAGTCTCATGTGTCTTGACTCAGAAGATGCTTTGTGCCCAAAATTTTCATGACCAAACTTAGCATCAGGAGACAGTGAAAAAACCTCCCAAGAGGGAATTGAGTGGGAAATAAACATTTTCAATAATCAGTAGCAACACTGGAACACAAATGTTGGGACAGTGGTTCAAGAATACTTCATTTCTGTCAACAACACTTTAATTCAATACAGTGGGATTCCAACAGACCCTGTTCTCTGAGCTTATGTGTGAGCAAGTGTGTATTCTGAGAAATGATTGTCATGCTTTGTTTGTAGGACTTAATTATTAGTAAATATCTCAAAGTCTAATCTTAGATAATCCACTAACATCTTTCTAAATCTATATGTTTAAAAGGCCAGCTACCTGGCATTAAGTATGTACCATGGCATCTTTCTTTCTGTGATGAGGCCTGCTCCATTTATCATTTTTTTATGTAATGCCACTGACCTACAAAAGGTTGCTATAATCAAAGCTTCGAGGAGAACAGTGGCAGTTGGTAATTGAAAATGAAAATGGCACTGAATGTCCCAGACTCTATTACAGCATCTTTTATCTCCTGCTAGGAGCCCTGAAATATACCTCTTGTTTATGTTCCAAGCAGTACCAATCAAAATAGGGGAAGGTCAGGCAAACTGGAATAAATGAGAATAGAGGTGTTTGGGTTTTATCAGATTCTATTGTCTATGTGGAATGGACTCATTTCTCTGGGACACTCAGTTGCACTGCTCAGCAGGATAGTAGCCGTTCAGATAACACCAGTATCACACTCATGTCAGGATAACAAATGTCTGTTCTTCTCCCTGTTCCTGAATACACGTACGTACTTGCACACTTGAGCAGGTACACATATGCACATGCAAGGACATCAAAGCATGCCAGATAGATAGATATACACAGATAGATTCACATCCCATTCAACACAAGCAGGCACACGTCACACACCCTAATGTTAATAATTGAGTACATCCATCAAACACAGAGCTGTGACAGCAAATCAAATAAACAAGCCTCTCTCTGTTCCAGAAATGTAGTATGTAGAGCTAGAACTTTACTAGCTGCTATGTTTCCTGTCTGCTTTGGATCTCAAACCACCTATTGTATACGATGCCAATGTGTGCAAACATACGCCATAGTATGAGATGTCGCACAAGTCATATTGGATAATGAGGTTAAAAGCATAGTCATAGGGCAAACAACTTAACAGCTTACTGTTTTCTGGTTGGCTGTTTGAACTTTCCTTTGCTCAACTTGGCCTTTCTTGGCCTCCCTAGCTCTTAACAGTATTTTGTATCCTATTTCATTTTTGCTGAGGATTGCTTAGTAGGCTGGTGTCTGACCTGTTCACTGGGCATTTCTCTAAGGGTCTACCATTGGACGTCTCAGGAATTCTCTTACTCCTTCTGCCCTGTCACTAGATCTAGATCCCATCAAAATCAAGAACCTGGAGAAGAATGTCAAGGAAGTCATGTGTCAGTAGAATTAGGCCACCTAATTTTCCTTCTGTAGTGATAACTTCTTATCAAATATAACATTAATGTTATAAATCCTTTAACTCTGAATTCCTGAGAGTGGGATAAGGGTCAGACACATTATAGTGATTTTACTAGAAAAGCAAAAACATAAAACAAGCAAACACACACACACACACAAAAAAAAAAAAAACAAGGTTTTATGGAACTATGAAATGTGGTAAGAAGTTATTCAAAAAAATCCAGTGACTATCCAGCATGCCTCTTTGTCACAAGACTGGGCCTTGTTCACTTTCTGTTGTCTTTCCTGTCCTCCAAATGGCAGTTTGTATATCTTTGGGGTATTGAGTACAGGAATTCTGGGCACTCTCTTAATGACATGCTTTGATAAAATTATGTTGCTAACTTAGCATTTCCCAGATTGCCAGTCTCTTCCTTCCTGGTTAATATAGTGTGTGTTCTAAGTACTATGTTTACCTCATAGTAGGAGATCCCTCCCCGTGTTCTCTTTCCTTACTGGCTCTGCACCTACCTGGGATTTCTTTCAAGAATGATGGAAACTATCCCTTCCATAGACATTGGCTATTACCTAATTCGGTTTTATTTTGTTTATTTTTTTGAGAATACTTCTAATTTCAAATACAAATTGGAAAGATTTTGTTGGGTATGGGAATTTAAGTTGGAGACATTTTTCCTTTATTCCTAAAAAGACAGAAAACAAAACATTACACTGTCTCTCTCTACTTCTCTGTGTTTATTGCAAGCTCACACACAAACCTTGACTGTTGCTATTTTTGAGTCCAATAGGCCTTTCCTTAACTAGACAAATTTTTTACCGTTTTTCTTTATCCTTGGTTTTCAGCAGTTTCACAATGACTAATCTGAGTAAGGTTTGTTTTATATTAATTTTGATTATTGTTATCACACCCTTGATAGAATATGAGCATTGTACCACCCATTAATTTCAACAAACCAGCATCTGTTATTTCTTAAAATATTAGTTTTGTCCATTATAAAGAGTATTCCAAAACGTCTAAGTTCTCTCTCAAAGGTCGGGGTGAACTAGCTCTTACATCTTACTACTCTGTCGGTGTGGACCAGACTGTGTCTGCCAGGGCTCCTGCTCACTCTCCTATTTCCCTCTGATTCAGCTTTTAGCTTCTTACTTCAGCTGAATGGACCTGCCATCAAATTCATGTATTCAGTTGTCATCTGGTTTTACAGTGTCTCCTTTTCTGAGAAACTTTTTGCCCATGCATATTACCCAGCTCAACACCCAAGTTATGACATACATTGCTCATTCCCATTTTGTCATTGACCCCTTGTTTTAATTCTCCTGGTTTTCAGTGACCTGCTGTAGCAGTTTTGCACTGTCAGGTAATTTTTGGTTGTAGGGTAAACACTGTGTTTAAAAACTTTGAGGATAATTTGAGATTCTGAGTGGTTTTATCTTCCTTCAGAGAAGATTAACTTTTGCTTTCAACAAGTAGGAGAACATAATAGAGAAATGGAACCCAAGGAACCCAAGAAGGAGGTGTGTGTTTGTTTAATTTATTTATTAAAGTGTGTGTGTGTGTGTGTGTGTGTGTGTGTGTTTGTGCTGGGAATTAAGCCTATGTACTTACACATTCTAGGCAAGCATTCTACTGCTTAGCTATCTTCCCAGCCATGGACTTCATTTTTACTTAAAAGTTCATCTGTCTTACAGAAAATCTGAGATACATAGGAGAATCTTTCATCCTTGGTGAGCCCTAACCAATCACATTTTGCCTTCCATAAACCCATAAGGACACTTGGAGTGCCCAATCATTGGTGCTAGAATGCCAGCCCACTACTCTGTTCCTCATGAAGTCCATGCCACATTCTTAGCTCACTGGTTCCTTAAAATAATTCCAACAATCTGCTTGGTGCTTCTAGAGATTTTTGGTAGAGGGTTAATCAGCATCTGCCAAATCAGGCAGAAACCCTGTCTCATCATCATCTTCATTTGCATTTCTCTCATAATTATAAAACTGAATCATTTTTTGACTAGAATGTAGGACATTATTTCTTAATGAATTCTCACATCTCTTGCATTTTTTTCTATTGGATTCCTGACCTATATTTCTATTTTTAGAAGTTCTTTACATCATTTAACACTATTAATTGCCTATGATTTAAAAATACAAGTATTTTTTCTCTTTCAAAATACTTGTAAGTTCCACCCTAAAGCTTGTTGTGTTTATGAGGTCAAATATTTTTTTAATTTTTCCTCATTTATGCTTTGCTTTCAGTCTTATGTGGCAAACTGCTCATGCTTACACCCTTAACAGGTACATCATGAATTTCTTCTGCACCAAAATGTAAGACGTGTGTTAATGAGCAAATGCAAAGTGCTAAACTTTCTGGAAGTTTCAGAATTAGAGTATGATATTATGCTGACAGGTCCAGCTGGAAGTTCAAGGTCTATTTCCCATGTTCCAATCTCATCCTCAGACATTACGAGAAGAACTCAAGCAGTATTACAAGACAGTTGCTCTTGAAGAATTTTTATCCTGTGTTATCCTTCTCCTGTGCCAGCTCATCTAATCTTGTACCATCAGTTTTACTGAAGAATAATATCTCTCCAATTCCTCTGTCTACTTCACACTCCCTGTCTTAAACCGCCAATACAAAAGTCTGTTCAGCATTTTCAGTTAAATGAGCCTTAACTCATACTGCAAATCTCAAAATGGCTTTCTTCCTCTTTGCCTGCTGCTTCCACTTGTCTTCAAGTTCTGACCACCCAGGCTACGTAATCAGTCATGTCTAAGTCATATTCTTGACTGTCAGCATCAGTAAATGGCTGCTGGAAGTAGAGACTGTACCAGCCAAAGTCTCCCTCAGAAAAGATTATGCATGGAAGCTGTTGCTTCATCCCCACTTGGCACAGTGAGTTTAACACATCCTCCCCCCCGAGGATGTTCTCCTGTAAAATGATTTCACCTTCTCTTTAAAATGTACAGTAATAAAAACTTCACATATTTGTATTTGTAGCATTTTTATTTGTTTATGAATGCCCTTGTTATTCATGTTGGGAAAACATGCTAGGTATTTAAGCTGATTGTCCTTTTGAATATCTGGAAGTGTGAACAGCCCTCTTCCTTCAACTGTTGAGAATGTTGTGTAAGCCATGTGTGGTGGTCTGCACCTTTCATCTAAGCATCAGCCAGGAGGACTTCTGAGTTGGAAGCCAGCCTAGTCTACTGAGTGAGTTCTAAGATAGTCAGGCCTACGCAGAGAAACCCTGGTGATTTTTTGGGTTTTGCTTTATTTGGGTTGGGGGGATGTTATAACTTGAACCACAGTGAATTGATGTCCTTCTTTCTGAGGGTCATATAGAAAACAGTCACAACACAAGCCAGCAGTAGGCTAGACACTCAGTACTCCAACATGGCAGTGCCTTAGAAGGTCTAGAGAGGCAGCCTTGTTGCACATCTGTAGTTTAACAAGGAAAACTCTCCCTGTGAAGAAAAGGGAACTTTCAACTTTCAGGCATGCCTAAGGCAAGATCAGACTTTTTTTTCTTCATTTTTTTAAAAGTCTCCTCTCTCTCTCCCTCCCTCCTTCCCCCTCCCTCCCTCCCCCTCCTTCCCTCCTCCTCCTCCTCCTTCCTCTCCCTCTTCTCTCTCTCTTTCTCTCTCCATGAAGTCCTTTCCTCCCTCCTTCCATCTCCTGTCCACTCTCTCCCTCCCTCCATTTTTCCTCTCCCCATGTCTCCCTCCCTTCCTCTTTCCTGTCTTTGTCTCTCCCCCCTTCCTCCCTTTCCCTTCTTCCCATTCCTCCCTCGCCCTCCCTCCCTAAATTTAAACAGTACTTTGTGTTGATTAGGGCACATTCTTTCTCTTATCCTACTACACTTCTATTTTGAGAAACTGTGTGTGTGCATGTGATTACCTCACAAATTAAAAAGAACTCAGGAGACAGCTCTGGGATATTCAAGCATCTCGACCCATGACTTCCTCCTGTAACCCACTCTGCAAAAAGAAGTTAAATCCCCAGAGCATTTTGAACTTTAAGAGGGCAGTGGAGGGTGAGAGCAGATTGGCAGCAGGGCTGAGCTGATTCTCTATAATCAGGATTCTGCTTTCCTTCCTTCAGCTCAAGGCGAGGATGCACCTGCTGTGTTCGCAGAAAGCCAAGGTTCCAGTGAGGCAGAAAACACTTCAGGTCCTGATGGTGAGTCTGAGCTGCCTGTGCTCAACTGTGATTCTGTGGTATTTTGAACACATGTAATCTAGGATGAAGAAGATTATTTGATCTAGGGATCAACTTATTTGGTTAAAACAAAGTAAATTTCAAAAGCCAAATTCTTCCTAGGAAATCGTGAAAGTAGAAGCCTTTAACACACACACACAGACACACACACACATTTACACATATGCGCACAAATTTTGTTTTAAGATAGCACACATGGGTTAAACATTCTGTACTATATGGAGGTCATGGTCAGTCATTCCAAGGTCAGACTGCATTCCACCTGCCCTGCCCTTAACCCTGTTCCCCAGGCATTCTCAGAGCTCTCCATTGAGCTTGGGTAAGATTCTTTTCATATTCTCAACTGCTAGCCTCAGAGCCTTTGGCCAGACACACAATGACTCTTTCAGAGCATCTCAAAAATAAACCTATTTAAATAGATGCCCTCCAAATCAGAGTTAAATAAAGATCCCAGCACCATGAACTTATTAACATTCCCTCTCCTATACACCTAAGCTAAGAACATTCTGGAATGCAATTATTTATATTAGAATAATAACTGTTTCAGCAGGCATGATTCTACTGGGCCACCAAGGTTTGTGTTTTCAATATTAAAGATTGTTTTCCAGTTTGATTAGAGAGGTATGCTGAGACAGATTTAGGTGAAATAAATCTAGTAACACCCAGCACTCTGTGCAAGAGAAGCTGAGGTAAGACAGGCATCAGCAGCCCACAAAATAAGGGAACTGCCTTTTGTAGACTTTTGAAGGCAGGGGTCAGTGAGCTTGGCAGCTCGGTGAATGTATATTAGATAAGAAAGGAGACAGAAACTCTGGTTACCTGGGGCCTGGGGAGGAAAGAGAAACTCCAGAGGAGAATTCCTAATCCCCTCAGCAACAGTAGAACTCACAGCTAAGAAAAGTAGAATCCATAGGCCATAAATTATATAAAGTGATACGTGTCTATTCATGTTTGGTGATACATAACATTATAAAGTTACCCTTACTTGTGGTCTACTATGCTATGGCTCTATAGACAGACACACGCTATAATGTCTAAGTCTGATTAAGAATATTCATCTTATTCATTCATTACTAATATCTTTACGGTAAAAACTCAAATTCCCTTTAGCTCTTTGAATTGCAAATCTACCCTTCTCATCTGCGGACACCCTCCTATGCAAGCCTACTACACAACTTCTCAATCTTACCTAACTCTACTGCAGAAGCCTCCACTAGGCCCCTCTCTGTGTGTCTGATCTCAGGTGACCACTGCCTTCCACTCAGTTTCTGAGAGATGATTATTAATCACTTGCCTTTCTGCATACAGTCCATTTCTTTTCACATAATCTCTAGTTCTACACATGTCACAGTTAACAGGATTCATTCCTATAATGGCAACTAGTATTCCAGTACATATATTAGCTACATTCTCTTTATCTACCTATAAATTCCTTAATATTTACTCTTATTTTGTGGATATTATGTTGCAAAGAAGTCTTTCAACATACTGAATTTTTTTCCTTCAGAAATATGCTCGGTAATTGGGATATCAGACCATATGGTAGGTTTCTTCCCCCCAAGAAATTTTCATACTCTTTTCTATAATGACTATACTATTTTAAATTCATACTAATAGTTTGCAGGGCTTCTCCAAACCCTTGCCAACCTTTATCATTTCCATTGTTTTGATAATCACAATTTCTACTGCAGGGAAATGGTATCTTTGTGCAATTTGTAATTTGTAGTTCAATATTCCTGTAGGTCATTCTCAAGAAATGTTTGCTTAGATTTGTTACCTATGTATCAAGTAGGTTGCATGTTCCCTTGCTAATGTTTCTGTAGTTCCTTCTTTTCTGGCTATCAACCCTTTTTCGGTGATATAACTTACTGAGATTCTCCTGTTTGGTATGGCATCTGTCTTAGTTAAGGTTTTACTGTTGTGAACAGGCACCATGACCAAAACAACTCTTATAAAAGGACAACATTTAATTGGGACTGGCTTAAAGGTCCAGAAGTTCAATCCATTATCACTAAGGTTGAAGCATGGCAGTGTCCAGGCAGGTATGAAGCAGGAGGAGATGAGAGTTCTACATCTTGATCTGAAGGCTGCCAGAAGACTGACTTACAGGCAGCTAGGATGAGGGTCTCAAAGCCCATCCCCACAGTGACATGCTTCCTCCAACATGACCACACCTACTCCAACAACATCACACTTCCTAATAGTTCCACTCCCTGGGCCAAGCATATTTAAACCACCACAAAGTCTCTTTATCCCATCAATTTTTTTTTTTTTTTTTTTGCACAAGAGCCTTCTAATTTGATGAAATCCCACTTGTTTACTTTTGCTTTTATTCCCTGTGCTTTTTTGAGGTCTGTGCCTAAAATCCTTTCCCTTGCTAATGTCCTGAGGTGTTTCCCTTGTTTTTCACCCATAGTTTCATGTCTTCTATGAATCTTTAATCTTCCTGTGGTTGATCGGTGTAGCTGATGAAACAGAGGGGTCTATTTTACTCTTCTTCCATCCATTATAGCCATTCAATACTTATGCAGCACCCGGTGAAAATACTGTCCTTTGTCTAGTGCATGTTCATAGTACCTTTGAAGCTCTCTAGTAACTCACAGGTCTATCTTAAATCCAAACATGATGGTTTGATCATTTCAGTTTTGAAGTATGTCTAATATCTAATTTGTCTTTTTGCTCAGGATCATTTTGTCTGTTGGAGACTTTTGTAGCTACACATAAAATTATTTTTCCAACTGTGTGAACATTTAGCATTACGCTTTTCATATGGATTACGTGGGGATAGTATAAATAATTTTTTTATTTTTTTTGTGTGTTCTGCTTAGTTTCATTTGTCAGTGTTTTGTAGTTAAGTTTCCTCATTGATGGGATTCATTTCTTTATTTCAACTTAAGTCACTATGGGCATATAGCAATACTACACATTTTTGTATGCTGATTATATGTTACTCCAACTTTGCCGAATTTAGTTATTGGTTCTACTACAAAGGAGTCTTTGGCATTTCCTATAAATAAAATAAAATCATGTATAAACATGGGCAACTTTTCACTTTTGGTATCCTTTATTCTACTTATTAACTGAGGACCCTGGACAATTTGCAGAGATCTGTCAAATGAAAGTTGAGAGAGTATGGGACTCTTATTTCACATCTTAGACAGAAAGCTTGTTAATTGGGCTATTATAATTATTTATATGTTGTGTTTACACAGTTTGTCCAGCATTTTAATCATGAAACTGCTTTTTATCAGATGCCTTATTGGCATTGATTGACAGAATCGATGGGTCTCATCTGCATACATTGAACCATCATTTCCTCCCTGGGATGAATCCCACTTGTCTGAGTGTAGAATTTTTACCTGTGTAGTTGGATTTGACTTCCAAGTTTTGTTCATAATTCTATATTTGTGTTAATTGAGGCAGTTGATCTGGAGTGTTCTCTCTCTCCTGCTCTCCCTTTTCACTCTATATAGTGAAGAGGGAGAAGAGGAAGGGGAAGAGGAGGAGGAGGACCACCAGACTGCTTAATGAAAGTAATGTTGGCTTTATAAAATGAGTTTGGAAATTTTCTCTTTTTCTCTTATTTTTGGAATGACTTCTGTGAATTGATATGAGTTCTTTAAATGTTGTCTTCACTGAACAAAACTCAGAAGTACTGACATCAGTAATACTGTGGGTAGTACAGAAATTTTTGTTATTGATCGAATCTCTCTTCTTGTTATTAATCTTTTCTATTTCTTTATGATTCAGTCTTGAGAACGTGTAGGCATTTGACATATAGCTGTTATATAACCAGTCTTGATCTTTTATATTTATCAGTTATATTGCCTCTCTTTAAATCTGATTTTATTACTCTCTTTCCTAAAGTTAGCTGAAGGTTTGTTCCTTAAGTTAGCTGAAGGTTTATTATTTTATCCTTCTAAAGAAGTTTTATATGTTTGCATTGTTTGATAATTTTTTATTAGTGTTGGTTTGATGTTGTTTTCTAGATCCTTGATATTCATGGATAGGTTGCTTGAAATATTTCCAATTTCCTCTTATAATTGAATTAATTCCTACAAACTTCCCTTTTAATGTTATGGCCATCACATCTGCTAGTTTTTAGTATGTTATCTACATTTTTATTTGTTTCGGTGTATTTCAATGACCTATTTTATTCTTATATCCACAGATGGCTAACAATATAATTTACATCTAAAAAATATGTTGGGCTTTTCTGTATGACATATGTTCTGAAAAATGTTCTGTGTGCCTTTAGCAAATGGAGCATTCTGTGGATGACTGCTGGAGCCCTGGGTCTAGGGTATAACTAAACCCTCTTGTTTGCATGGGATATTTGGTCTAGATGAATGTACGTTTATTCCTGATTCCTTTTGAATCCCTAGCATGGCATATTTCACTCTATCTCTTTGTTCTCAGTCTATACATGCCTTGAGTTGTAAAGTGAGTTTTGTTGAATTATTATGTGGTTTGGCTATGTGTTTTGTCCCATTCAGTAACTATGACATTTAGTTGAAGAATTAATTCATTTACATCCAGAGTAATTATAGGTAAACTCTTATATCAGCCCTTATATAAATCATTCCTAGTCTTCCTGTACTTCCATTCTTCATCATTCATTTGGTTTGCTTTACAAATATTTTCATCACACTCGATACGACACATGAAAATCATTTGAACTAATACCATAGAGAACAGATACAAAAGGGTGAAAATATAAGAGAGTTGGTTATGTATGGTGACTCATACTTGTAATCTCAACTCTTTAAAATCAGAGGCAAAGATGACAAAGACTTCAAAGTCATCCTCAGCTACATAAGTTCAGCCCAATCTGGGCTACATAATACTGTATTGAAAAATAGGAGAAGTGGGGGTAAAGCAGGAGTAGTTTTGAGCTTTTGAAAATCTAATTCCCTGTCTTGGTTATTGGTTATTTCTTGGTCGATTGGTCTGGTAATCAC